GTGCTCTTCCGATCTCCCCAAAACCCCAAAACCCCTAATCATAAAAAATTAGAGCTAAAAATCATTCATAAGTATTTTAGAATTATAAAATTTAAAATTGATAATTTTATAAATAACTAGGAAATTTATTCTAGCGTAAATCACTAGTTACAAATCAATTTCAGCCTTAATTAACTCATTTCATTCTGTATAATTATTCCGAAGATACTTCATGTTTTCAGAAAAACCATAAAAGCCTTATTTCGTTCAGTAATCTACATTTGGACAAAGTCATTATTAATAAGTTGGGCCTGGCTATGAAAGCTTTGACTATTAATCTAGTTAAACTAATTACAACTAGATTCATAATTTTGGCTAAAAAAGAGTAGGGGCTCCACCATACATTCCTTATCAACCCATGCCTTACAACCAGCAATATCATAAGTAGCAATAATAAGTTGACGAGACTTAGAATCTTATTAAGAGGCAAAAGTTATTCGTCCCCCTCACCCTTAGAATGGTGACTGCTTGTGATCCAAGAATGGATGATCACTGTGAGTATGAAGGTGAAATAATATCAGACATTGAAATAATCGGCAGAATACTACAGAAGATAAATGATACTTAGAGAGTCATTTTAGAGATAAATGATGGTACTAGCACTTAAAAGGTCCTATTCTATCATAAAAATGAAAATGAGGAGCCGCCGATATTCAGAAACCTGCACTACTAGTAATTCATGTATGTGAAGATATATGGCACGATTAGAGTCTTTAGAGACGAAAAGGCAATTATTGGCTCTTATATTAAGAGAATAGACCACTATGATGAAGTCACTAATCACTTCTTAAGAGTATTTACTAAGTAAGAAATTAGAAAGCATGGACCCTTAAAGTCAAAAGATCTTTAAATCGATAAATTAAGCGCATCAGCACTAGCTTTAGAAATGAATCAGCCTGCATATACTAGCTCTATCAAAGAAAATACAAGTGAGACTAATAATTATTAAGATTTCAAGAGTAATCATTAATAGGCCAATAACCAAATTGAGTTGAGTCAAAGAAGCAATTACTAGCATCCCTAATTCAATTAGTCTAATTAACAGTAATAATAAAATAAAAACTATAACTATAGTCAGAATAATTAAACTTGGAAGGAAAGTGCAAAATATTAGTAGCAACAGCAGTATCAGTAATATAAAGACAACCAAAGTAGTAGCAATTACCAAAGCTCTGGAAACAATTAAATTATCAATGCCAACTAGAATAAGAACTACAATAATTATAAAAGTAGATCTCCGTTTCAAAATAGATTCTCAATGACTGACTAGTATTAATACTCGAACTTAAAGAACCCTAATACAAGTAGCACTTATAACAATTATACTAACTACATTCAAAATCAATAGTAGACCAATGGAGAAAATTTCAACCCAAATAACTCAAGGAATAATTTCAACTAAAACTCGAATCCAACACTTGGCATAAACAAATCATAAAATTAAAATGCAGTAGTTAATCCTAGTCTCAATTAAAATAACAAGCAACAACCACCTTCTAGTAATCATTCAAATAAAAGCAGCAGTAACTATTCTAGCTAAAATAGCTTTTATCCTCCTAACAAATAACTTCATTAATCTCAGAGTAATAATTAAAATTTCTATACTGAAAGTGCTTAAAACCAGGCAAGTCAGTATCAATAGTACATTTAAGAATAGCAAAACTAGCAGATAAGTAATTTTTAGAGAGCAGAAGAAGAAAAAAAATAAAAGATTCTTCAGGAAATATACACTTTATCTAAGAAAAATAAAGTTATTAAGCTACATGAGATTTAGCTGGTAACTTCTGAAATTTGTGATTAATAATCATTAGATTATGTTTTGCAAAAATTAGTGAGTTTAAATCGAATAAAATGTGATATTTCAGGCAACTAGTTCTACTTAGCCTGAGTATTTTATTAGAAATTGAAGTGTAATTAATTAATTTATTTTTATTATTCCCTTATTTATTTTTTATATTGAATGCTGGGGTTTTGGGGTTTTGGGG